GAGAACGTTCCTCTTCCTTTGCATCAACTTCATCAGAAATAAAGTCATTCTCATTGCTACATGCATCATCTTCTTGGGCAACATCGTCATTGTCGGAATCTCCAAGGTCGATAAAGACTTCTTTAACGCTTTCCGAGGGGCGCGACCGCTTCCTAGATGCCGACGTCATGCCAAAAGGTTCCTCTTCCTGTCCAGCTTCCTTAGGCTGAATGCCAGATTCAAAGCCAATGATTTCTATATCATCAGAATCATCCATCTCGTTTTCATGGGGTGAATCACCGACTTCTTTAAAAGATGTCGGCGGCCGTCGTTTGATGTGTATATTGTCAGCTGTGGTTTTGTTGGCAAAATTATTAGTCAAGCTATCCAAGAGTAAGGAATCTGGAGGCTTAGAATGACTGGTTGAAGGCTGAGGGGGCGTAGAGGGTGCCAGCTCGGAATCACTACTTTCACCTGAAAAATACACAAAAAACCATGCCTATAAATAACGAATATAGAACGGTTGCATTCATCGATACAAAACCATATTTATAAACTTTAGGGGAAAATCCTCTGCATGTTTCAATTTATTTTTTAAATAACCCTGGAGTTGACCGCCAGAATAATACTGTAAAATTATACACATGCTGAGGCTAGGTGAGAAAAAGTGTATTTAATAAGACACAGACATCAATGTATATAATTAAATAGAAAAACTGGATGTAGGAACAAAGTCGTGATGAATAAATAAAGATATAGCTAATTTCGTTACTCGGATTTTACATAAGAACGCTCGAATGGCAAGCAGTTTTTCATAATTAGTGCTGATGACTTTAAGAATAGGCTTTTTTTAAATACATATAAAATTCGTTAAATGGATGCTCGTCAGGAGTCTGGAGACTGTACTCCAGAAATTGGCAAAAGGGAAAAGACGATGGATGTCATAAAAATAGCAGAGAAGCCAAAGAGTTGTTGTAAACTCTTCTTAGTAGAAGTTATGGACAGATCTCTTCCTCGATGATTTTTATTAACGAGCGAAACAGAATATTAAATTTAGGTTATTTGGAAAGAAGTTGAGTACATTGTGTAAAGTATTACATTACTAGCTAAGTTTAGGAACAATAAAAAATGTTATTATTATTCCTAAATAAAATATAAAAGTTGATAATAATATTACGGATACTCCCAATTGTATAATTATTAGCATCGACAAATACGCGAATGATGGCAGTTAGGGATAAAAAAAGGGAAAAGCGAAATTTCCCCACATTTTCAAAATTTATTTTTGCAAAATTTGTCAGGTGAACACGAGATCAACGGATTTTTGCCATGTATGTCTTAGAATTTCTCTTAGGAATTTAGGAACAACATAAAAATGAAGTCGACCGTTCTTTATTTGGTAATGCATACTAACTCTATACAAAAGCATATTTCAAACGTAAAATAGGCCGAAATTATGCAGAAAGATTTCCCAACTAAATACAGAAACGAAGCTAATATCTGCTTGCAACAAATTATGTTTAATCGAGCCTGATCAATTTTAGTTAGGCATTGTCTCTCAGCTATCTGACCTCGTTAATCTACTCAGGATAGTGGTCCAAATAGGCCTAGAAGATTCGACCAACATTTAGCTTTATGAATGCTGCTTATTTAAGATATAATAATGTTAACACAAATACTAGTTATAGTAGGCATAGAGTGATCCCAAGGATACAATAGGTCTTGTTTAAGAAATAAACGGAATGCATACATAGTATAATGTCATCTTCGTCATAATGATCAGCATCGACTATCGCCTCACTAAGTTTGCTCTGATCGGACTTGGTATTTAGCTGATCAGGTGATTGCACTGCAAGCTTTGGACCTTGCGAGGGCATGGCGGCTGCCAGATCACCCAATAGAAGCCAGTCCTCGTTGGCATCGAAACTAGTATCCGCAGAAGCCAGGGCGGATTCAAGTAATTTGAGCGTACTCACCTCCAGTGAGGGGTCGGACTTAGAGCTATCAGAAAAGAAACAAGGAGAGTAGTGATATTTGGTGATATGGGTAAATTCTTTAAATAGACATGGCAGTTTTGTTTAATGAATTACTACGATTACTAAGGTGAAAAATGGTTAAGCATGGCACGTAAAAGATACCATGACGATATGCTAATAATCTGCTAAAATAAAGTTCAGCGAAATAGCAATTTAAAGATATGCTAAAGACTTACGCTTAGTGGGAATAATTAACAAAGCAGTTTTTAAAATAAAATTCATTAAAATAACCACAGTATCTTATATTATAAAGTTAAGATAACAGACAGTTGAAATACGTGGCTACGTCCTGATGCCCATTGAAGAGGCTCTTAATTATGGTCACAAACACTCATATTAAATAAATATATATAATGTGTACCATATCCATCATTAAAATATAAAAGGAAAATATAAGAAGACTTAGGAATCTCTTAGTTATTAAGTAGACCTGTCAGGCTGGGACAAAGCAAATCAACGATATGATAAAGCCATGTTGGTTAGAGATCAAATAAAATAGAAAACAACGATAACTTTTGGGAAAGCAA